ATAATAACAGTAATATCCCTTTTATTCTACTCTTTCCAGTAATGTTGCCTTCTCTCCTTTCCGCTTCATTGGCTTTTCCTATGACACGTAAATCATCATTGTTACTCCGAAGATGCTTTTCGATATACTAGTTATATTTATTTATTTTGTATTCTATAGTGAACTCCTTCTCAAACTTACTTAGCTACCTAAATTATTAACATTGGCTTACTTTTTGTACTTAACTATATTCCTTCTATTGTGTATCCACTGGTTCCGACTCTATTAACACTATAAGTATTACAAAATTGTCCTGTCATTAACCATCATGTAATTATTAGTTTTGTGGTTGTTTTTTCTTATTTTTTATTTTTCTCGGCAATATTAACTGACAATCATTGGTTGTGAATGCCATAGTCACCACCTGAAAAAAAAAATTTTGTATTATTCAGGATTACTCACACTACCACTACAAACACTGCATTAGACCTGACAATAAAAAACAAAACAACAACCCTGAAATGTTATTTTACGATTGTTTAGAGTTGTTTCAATCAAATTAACCGATCAACTTGGCGATAAACTTTCTTAAATATCATTTCATAACTTCTTGTATGACTATAGCTTTACTGTCACCATGCATAATCATATCATTGCTTCCACTACCCAATACTGAGTTATTATTATATGATGTTTATTTTCCTTTCTACTTCTTGATATTTTTTCGCATTTTTAAAAAATCATTTTTTTTTTTTTTTTTTTTTTTTGGATTTACAGCTTGATTTCCACACCGTATTTTCAGTACAAGTGTGGAACTTTCAGCATGGATATCGGTTGCCCAAATTCAGGCATACCATAGATATCGGGTGTGCGCCGGCAGGGGTTCGAACCCCGGACCATGTGCATGGTCGGCGAGAGTCCTAACCACTGTGCCACCGACGCACAGTTGCTGTTGGTGTCTTTATATTTATTATTTTTTTTGAAATACTCCTTTTAAATGTTTGATAAAATTAGATGCAAATATTGTAGATATGTGCTGAAAATTCCACACTTTACTACTAGTACTGTTTCTGGAATAAAGCAAATTATTATTATTGTTATTATTATTATTATTATTATTATAAGTAGTAGATACCTTGGTAGCATTATTGTCAGCTTTAAGGTCTAAACAAGTCTTCCAATTCCTGAATTAGTTATACCTATCATCATTAAGAAAAAATAAACAACACTGTCCATCTTCAAGGCGAATAAAGAAAGAAAGAAAGGAAGCCTAAATGAATCATCATTTGTTTATTATTAAATCATTTGTATTGTTTTTGTAGTATAGTTTACTTTATTCATTTATTTATTTATTGTTGTTTAAGTTTTCAATCATTTTTTTACGCAGAAGAATTATTTAAAAGTCATTCATTGCATTTATAAATTGTTGCATTATACTACCAGTAATAATCCATTACTAAAATGTTTTGTTTACTGAAACTTTTATTATATTAAAACAAGAATTTACAAGGAAAGTTTCATTCAATAGTATCTTTACAAGGAAACAAATCAATAAAAACTTTGATCACTTTGGAATCTAAGAGCAAATAGTGCAGTGAAGAGTCTCTTTTCGGTGGATTCATTTACTTAGCTGTACAGTCGCAATTATATGTAATTATTTTGTGGGTGTTTGTGTTTCTACATTAGATTTGTCAAACAAGAATAAAAATTAGTTAGGGTTATTGTTTAAGTCATCAAAATGTTTCAAAAATGTGATGAATAATCAAATTGTAATTAAGGGGGAGGTGAATATTAGTAGGTATTGAAAGAAGAAGACATCACTCTTTTGAGGAGCACACTACTTGGGAATGGATATCTATCAGGCCTTATAGATAAACACATGAAGCCGAAAATCAACAAAGAACAACCCATCTCTGTGCCGAAGAAGATGCTATGCATGAATATGGGTTTCAAAGGCTACCTTCTGGCCGACATCTTAAAGAGAAGAATATCTAACGCCCTGAAAAGAACATTCTCTGCTGCTACATTACGATTGGTATTCTCAATCCGCCCATTATTCTTCAACAACTCCAAAGATAATCTATTGCATTTGACCACTTCTATGTGTATCTACCAATTCAACTGCTCATGTGGAGCGAGATATATAGGTCGTTCGACGCGTGCTTTATCTAAAAGAGTCAAAGAATATTATCCCACTTGGCTACGAGAAGATAACAAAAGATCAATAAGGAGTGCTATAATTGAACACAAGTACTACGGCGTACCCGAAATATTCATCAACCTTATTCAACAGCTGTACGACAACAGCACATGTCAAGTCATCCACAACGGAAAACTCAGCGAAGCGTTTGGAGTAAACACAGGAGTCAGACAAGGGTGCTTATTATCACCAATGATATTCCTAATTGTGGTGGACTGGATTATGCGTCAGACAGTGGGAAACGAGAAGACAGGGATATCCTGGACCGATGTGAAGAACCTACAAGACCTGGATTTCGCGGATGATTTATGTTTGATGTCACGCAAGATCGAAGACTTACAAGCGAAAACCGACAAACTGGTCGAAGAAGCAGCAAAGACAGGACTCCAGGTGAACACAGACAAGACGGAGGTTATGAAAATAACCAACAAACAACAGCAACATCTAGCGCCAATCACCATCAGCGGGAGGGATTTGAAAGAGGTTACTTCATTCACTTCACTTATCTAGGGAGCATTGTCTCAACTACAGGAGGAACGGACGAGGATGTCAAATCGAGAATCGGGAAGGCGAGAAACACATTCATCAACCTGAAACCAATCTGGAAATCTTCCGCTGTCACTCAACATCAACAACAAAATTCGGATTTTCAATACAAACGTCAAGTCAGTTCTTCTATACGGATCAGAAACTTGGCGGGTCACAAAGAATATTTCCAACAGCTTGTTGCAGACCTTTATCAACAGCTGTCTTCGTTCTATACTGAAGATCAGATGGCCGGAAAGAATCACAAACAAGAAACTATGGGAACAAACAAAACAAGAACCAATCGCCCAACAAATATGCAGGAGATAGTGAAGATGGATTGGACACTCGCTGAGCTGACGAGGCCGTTGGGTGACATCGCGCGTCAGGCCAGTGCTCGAGTGGAACCCGAAAGGGTAGCGGCGAGTGGGACGTCCAAGGGTGACATGGAGGAGATCGTGTGATCGAGTTGAAACAGTATGCGCTAACATGGGTGCAAGTGAAAAAAAACAGCAGAAGACAGAAGTAAGTGGAGGCGTGCAGTTGAAGCCCTATGTTCCACTGGGAACCCAATGGAACAATAATAATAATAATGACTGAACTCATATTTGACACTAATCACTCCGTATTTAAGGAGAATTCATTCAAGTCATCTACTAAGTCAAAAGGAGCCTCCCGAAAATGGTAAACTTCCGTATACTTTCCATCACCGAGGATTTAGCGATATGGATGGAAAACCCTGATTTATGTACACAGAAGAAACTTCTCCATCCCCTACTTCTACTTTGGGTATAATTCCAAGTTCTACTACTTTGTTACTAATACTATTTTTGACATTTTAGTTACATCTTTTTTCTTAAGTAACCCTTTATTTATTCTTTCCACCTATTACGTAATTTATTTTGGACACTTGTCTCCATGCTCTTTCATTAACATCCAATTTTCTGGGTGTCTTTCATATTGCGCATCCCTTGTCAATACCTACTAATCTTCACCACCCTAGTTACAATTTTATTATTCGTCACATTTCTGAAACATTTTGATGACGTAAACAATAACCCTAACCAATTTTTATTCTTGTTTGACAAACCTAATGTAGACACACAAATACCCACAAAATCACTATATATAAATGTGACCGTACAGCTAAGTGAGTGAATTCACAGAAAAGAGACTCTTCGCTGAACTGTTTTTTCTTATGTTCATCTATGGATGGGTATTTTTTGTGAATTAAAAATTAGCAAGAACACTTTGAAATCTGTTGCATGTTGGTATTGTAACAACAAAAGACAAGGGCCAGGCAACAGATCGTTTATTAAGGAAAATCAACACATATTTATAGATTTTAATGTACATTATTGCAGATTATTGTTAGTAGAAAATACAGTCTTTTCATTGGTTGTTTCTCACAGAAAGTTAACCTTGCATCTCTTTGTGACTGTGTCAGATCATCCATATGCTAACTGTATCCGCCTACGCAAAGCCTTTGTTCTCAGTTCCTCACCATCAATATTGGGGACATAAACATTGATGTCAATTACTGTCTACCAACTTTGGCTAGCAGCCAGCTCTCACCACAGTATTACCACTGTTATTGTTTGAAGATATGTCGACGTATGATCTGTGTATTGCAAATTTCTAGTTCTTTACATCTCATTGTTATGACCTGCAGGGATGCATAAATTATCAGCGCTTATCTTACATCTCATGCCTCCTCCTCCTACGTAACAGCAACTGAAAGTTCATGACGATGATCACTCACTTAGCTTGGTGGTCGTATTCCAAACTAGAGTGATAATAATCAGTCAGCACCATTAAGAACAAGACACATGTCACTAGTTACTCCCTACTAACCAATCATTTTATCCATTATAGCCCTAAAGGAGACTCATCTCATCCTGGAAAACTTAGTGATGAGTTTCTTGTCTGTGACATTGGGCGATGTAAGCTGGAATTCCCAAGGGGACATCATTCCAGGTAAGGTCGAAGATAATCATTGCCAACAAGTGCCATTTAAGCAGGAAAGCTTATCTAGAGCATCGCCCTGATTGTCTCCAACTGCATAACATAAACTATAAGTATAACAAATACAACTTAATTCTTCCTTTTGAGGATAAACATTCTTTAACTGTTACATAAAGCGTGAGAATTACTAACCCATCACTTTAAAGTATAAACATTTCCGTATTATTACTTCGATATTGTCAATAAATCTTATCTCAGTAAGATTTCACATTTATTATTAGTAGTAATCAAGTAATTCTCATATTTTTTTAAAATACTTCTTTACTTCTAGTGAAAGCAGATGTCTATCCACCGAAACTATTAACCCTCCCAACAAACGCGGACGTATCAACTCATCAAAAGCCGTCTGTCATCGAGACAGTCGATTCAAGTGGATTACATGAGAAGGCTGTAATTGGACATATATCTGGAATGGGAACATTTAATAAGCCCATTGATTTGACAAATAAAAGGATTTATGCTGAAAATGGAATTTTTATTGAATGTACAACATCTTGTGCATCATCAGTTAAAGGGATTAACTGGAGAGCACAGAATTCAGTAAGTTCTTTATCGACCTTTTTTTCTGTTTACTTTAATCGAATTCATGATTAGACTATCCGAAGTAGCGGCAAAGTTAAACTATCATAGCCAAAATCATGGTGACCCTGAACAACCAATCAGATTTCAGATGTGAAAAAAGTCGCATAATCGTAAAAATGTATTAAAAACATTACAAACATGATATTACACCCGATAATTGTTTCTTATGTAATGTAAGAATGTCTCCCAGTAACTTCAAGGACACTCTAGAGACAAATTATATCCTATAGGATACATGTACAAATCCAGGTGATTGGTTAAAGGATTTCATCATGAGCTTACATCGGTTAGAAAACCATTTGAAAACCAACTGGGAGTACTAGACAGCTGTTTCGTCTTAGTCTGGGGTTCTTCTAAAGTGCGCATCCACCGCAAGGGTTGGAGACCAGGACCTTCTGGCTACAAGGCGAACTCGTAGACCACTGAGCCACTGAGACTCGATCCAATGGCCTGTCCATGAATTCCAACTTCTGCCAATCATGACATAGCGCGGCCACTATGAAATCCTGTAACCCATCAATCAAATCCCTACAAACCAATACTCGAACATCAATGAGATGCTCACTAGCGATTGGCCCTATTCAGTAAGTAGTTACGTGGGTTCTAGTGGAGGTTAGTGAACAGTAGGGTACAGCAGGTCGGGCGTGAGGACAAAGACTCGCCAAATACATTTGCTGGTGATGGCATTATATGGTGAATTGACAGAAGCTGGAATTCATGGACAGGCCATTGGATAGGGTCTCAGTGGCTTAATGGTCTACAAGCTCGCCTTGTAAACAGAAAATCCTGGGTTCGAGCCCCGGTGGGTGCACGCTGATGAGGAGTCCAAAACTAGGCTAACGAAACAGCTGTCCAGCACTCCCAGCAGGTTTTTCAATGGTTCTCTTACCGATGTCAGCTCATGATGAAATCCTGTAACCAATCAATAAAATCCCTACAAGCCAATACTTGAAAATCCTGGTGACTGTAGATCTTGGTACTTTGGGATCCATTGATATTCCTAACTCTGTTCTTTGGCCTTCCTACAACCCCACATGACAGCACGGAAATCACTAACCAAATCCATAAAGGCAGGTATGATTTGATATGGAATGACCTTTCTTAGAGTTCCCTAGATCTGATTAATTCTTGAAGGTCAACTTTTGATAGATCTTGACTTCGGCTATGATAACTTAACTTCACCTTCAGTTCACAAATTATTATTGATGTGATGGGTGAAATGAAAATCTAGGTGGCGTCAGGACCCAAACCAGCGGCTTCCAGGTTACTAGTCTCGGGATATGAGACCCAGCTGCTGACTATTACCTGTGGTGATGAATACAGTGAAACGATGATCTGGTTAGCAGTTGGATGTCGTAGCCCAGTTGGTAGAGCTGCTGAGTAAGACAGGTTAATTTATTTATACACTGAAAAGATTTTTTTGTTAAAATAAATATAAGTACAAGGAACTCTTAAAACGTTGTAGACATTATTGAAAACTATTATCGATCGTAATAATATCTCAACAAAAGGTGAATAGACTTTCCCTTCCTGTCTCTTCCTTTATAAATTTGAATAACACAGTGAGTACAACTTGTGAATATGTTGTCTTAAGGTCATTCGAACGTTTCGAGCACAATTTATTGCTCATAATCATATCAAGGTGATATGATATGAGCAATAAATTGTGCTCGAAACGTCATCAGTAAATATTACTGTATAACACTGTGAGACTCTATCAAAATAAAATTTACCCATAATGGAATTAAATTTGTCTTAAGGTCAGACCTAAAATTTGGAACGGCTACACTTCACGGTGACTAGAAGTGGAATCCTGGAGGCACATTTCGTCCTGTTTGGATCTTGTCATCTGTACCTGCATCTCCAGTGAGTGATGGTATCTCCATTGAGACTCGAACCCTGCACTCAATACTTCAAACTTCAAGGCTTTATCCACTGGGCTACTGCACCACGACTGCCACCTCTTGTGCAATGGGTATCAGTTATTACTGTTTCGCTTAATTTGCATCTCCCGCCTCCTGATCATGTTGGGCCGAAATGCTCATTCTCTGTCGACATGTCAGTAGCATTCAAGATATTTAACTTATACTTTTTGATCTTCAGCTATTTTTGATTGTTAATGGAAATATGGCTTTAGTATGACATTGCGGTATAAAGCTGAATTCTCCATCTCCTTTAACTTACAGAGCGACCAGTACCTAAACAAATAAATACTGACTACAAGGATTAAAGCTATTAGAAGGTAAACTCTTTCCCAACACACTGGTTACTGACAAAACCTTGATCTATAATAGAAATTTATATTAGGTATTTGTTATGTTACACCATTCGTGAAGCTGGAAAATTACCGACCTCCTCATCTCTCTCTCTTCTACTCAATAACTATGTGGAATGTCAACTGAACATGAAAAATATGACAGTTTACAGGTATACTAATGCACATGTTACTGCTATCTATGAACAGTTGAATTACTGATGAGAAAAAGAAGAGTCTTAAAGTGTTTATTTGTAGGATTTTGATTGATTTCAACATATATATTTCATTACAAACCGACATTGGTTAGAGAATCCTTGAAAGTCAGGGAGTAATGAATAGCTGTTTTCTCTTCATCTGTACACATCAAGGTCTTACCAAAGTTTCACAAAGTAGAAAGAAACAGCTTTCCCATACTCCCGTGTTTTTAATAATTCCTGAATCATTGTTGGTTAGTGTTGAAATCTAACTTGAAAAAAAGTGAGGCGAAGGGGGGGGGGAGAAGAGAAAGTTTCTTACTCAGTCTAAAAATATTTAGGAGTGAGGATACTATTACACTTCACAGCCTCAGTCATTACTTCAGCATTTATCAGGGGTCGTCTATGCCAACTCATACATATACAAAATGAAGGATATTTAATTTGTCTATATGCAAATGGAAAATACTAGGAAATTTCTTTAATAGGAGTATTTCTTTCACAGCCACCCACAGTTGCTATTTTAAATGTTTGGTTATGACATTATCACCTATATGCAAATGTAGAAGAAATATCACGTGTCATAGTTTTGCACTGCAATTTTCACACACTAATGGAGATCTTTCCGCTTACCCAAGACTGCATAGAAATAAATCTCATAGCTACGGATCCTATAAATCTCTATGAAATGAAAACAGTTCACAGCTAAGTTCATATTCTGTGAAGTTAGGCATTTAAACAAATTTGGAGTAGATGTGTAGTGAGAGCTGGCCGCAAGCCAAAATTGTAGACAACAGTTTACGTCAGTGTTCACGTCCCGAATCAGGGTCATGAGAAAAACAATAACAAAGCTAAACCTTGAGAAAATCACCAGCCAATCACAGCGTACTCAACGTGTGGAAATATGATTCGCAGATATATGGCTTGATTTTCTGAGAAACGGCCACAAAGAGATAACAGAATAGCCTTCAGCAAGAAAACAATCAATCAGAAGAGGTTGCTTCTCCGCTGACAATAATGTACATAAAGATCTATAAATACCTCTTGATTATCTCAATAAATAATCTGTTGCCTGGCCCTTGTCTTCTGTCGTTACAGATGTACCTATTCCATTTAATAGTTTATCACTTGCCTTATTATTTTCTTTTAAGTTATTTCTACTATTGATACCTGGTATTTTGAAAATATCATTAACCCTAAAATCTTAGTCTTATTATACAGATTTCATTTAACTGTCAGCTTCCACTCTTTGGTATAAAAGTATCCCAGTAATTCTGTTGGACCAGTGAACTACTGGTAGCGTAGAAAAGTTACATTCATATTTGTAAAACCATCATCATTGTATTCGTTCCATAAACAGAATCTGTTATAATAGACACTTAAGAAGAATTAGCTGGTCAGGTAAGGTAACTTACATGCAATTATTATTACGAGGGTAGAATTCGGTCACCAAGAAGGATTAGAACCAACACTGTGATGGATAGAGGATTTCAGTCCTCAAGATTTTAGGTGAATCTCTTGCAGTGAATGTGCAATACCATAATCCATAAAATTCATTATTCAGTTTAGTGCGAATGACATTTTTTATAAGCGACATTCAAAACCATTGGTGTTATTTTGAAGACAGATGGAAGTTGGAAATTGTGGGCTATTGGATTCAAATCGAGTGGATGAATGGTAAACTGGTAAATCACCCTAAAGTCCAGCTAGTCCTGGGTTTCTTTGGGGCTAAAGAATGTTAAATTAAGACAACAATTACTCATTGGTACTTGGTTTTCAATGATCTGTCATCTAAAGTTATTTCGAGACAAAGTCTCCTTAGCACTTCAACTAAATCCCTACAAACGTAACTTTTCATAATGACTATGTTAAATCAGTAGAAATACACGCGAGGTTGACAAAAAAACATTGGTTCACTTTTTAGTTTCTTGACAATTTGTTAAGAATTGCATCAGTTTCAGATCAATAAATTTCCGTAGAATGAATATATCCCTAGACAAATAAAACAGGTCAGAATTCGATCTTTTAGATAGTGAAATAATTAGCGACTTGATAATCAATAATAAAATTCATATTTGAAGATATTGGAAACCTCGAAACTGATCGGAGTCCCTATTTCAACCTATAAACAAGTTTTTTAAGTGCTGATTTGCAGGAATTTGACTGACTTTGAGTTAGATCACGAGCTGATATCAGTTAGGTAGCCAGCGAAAACTACAAAGTACTGGACAGCTGCTTCGTCCTAGTTTGTGGCTGTTTAGTGGTACGCAGCACAACCTGACTGGAGATCGAATGAAGACGTTTATTCATCCAGTACTTAGTATTGTGTATGTTTTCCTTTCTCGTATAAGATAATGTAAGTAGGTAGACCATAGATTATGGGACAGTTACTAGTGTAATATGTCAAATAGAACTTAGTACAAAATAAAATCTTACTTGATTATTATGCCCATTTAACATGAGGTGTTGAAACTATTTATGTATTCTACGAGTATACATGTACAAAT